CTGGGATGCTTCACAACCAGAAATTTTCTTCATCTTGCCGCGTAGTGTGACATGTCCTACGTTGTCCTTCGATTGGTTCTTCGGCACTGACCAATAGGAAGACAGTGACGAGAGACTGGACGGGGCGCGGCACAAACAACCAACGACGATTGGGCAGAGTCTTGTAGTGTGACGTCTCACCAGGTCCAAGACAGAGAATGATATTTATCTGGTAGTCCGACAGCGTGACTGTTGTGAAGGACAAAAAAAGTTTTGTTGGCTATAAAACATCCTGGGACCAACTTTGGTAGTCTTCCATCTTGCTCTGTTTCGACTCTGCTTCCAAATACTCGTTTTGGCTTTGCAGGGTCTCATTTGCATGTCACTAAACCAGACACCTGGCAACTGTTTAGAGTTTGTGGACCAAACGGAATCAAAAACGTCCTTTAAGGGTCTCCCTCTCGATCTCTTTCCAGGAACGTCTCCGGCTGCGGCGGAATTCATTTTGTCGCCGTTCGTTTGCGGCCGTAAAATCGCGCAACCATGAACAGCGTGGCAAACTGGCTGGTGGACAACAAGGACAAGATCGAGAAAGGGGTGGACATCATTGGGCAGGCCTCCGAGGTCCTGGCCGCCACCGTGGGCCAGTTGCACCCGATCCTGGAGGCGGTGTTCATGGCCTCGGCCGAGATCCTCAGCAACCCGGAGGGCAAGGAGGCCGTCTATTTGAGCCAGAAGATCGAACAGGTTAACCAGAAGCTGGTGGGGATCCAGACCGAGATCGACCAAATCGCCCTGGAGTTGCAGCGGGCATCGATGAACAAGCAGAACGTTGACCGCGAGGCTCACATCCTGGGCCAGTACGAGAAGTTCCAGGAGTTCATCAACACCAAGCCGAGCATGAAAGAGAAGAAGAAGGACAAGTTCATCAAGTATTACGAGAACACCGAGGCCGACCTGAACCTGGAGGCCCTCTACAACGCCGTCACGGGGGAGAACACGGCGGGCGACCCCATGCTGGACACGGTGGTCACCACGGAGCAGAGGAGCCGGAGGGCGGTGGAGGACTTCTGCGCTCGGCTCAAGAAGCTCTTTGTGGTCGGCCTCATCGCCGTCATGGGCTACGCCGCCCTCAAAGAAGGTGTGGTGGAAACGGGCCTGATGACCAAGTGGCAGGACCGGATGGAGGTGGTGGAGAAGCGCATGAAAGCGGCCGTGGACCACTGCACCGAGACCTTTGTGGACCAGGCCAAGCTGGACCTGGAGGAGGCGCTCAAGGAGACGGCGTGCGCGGTCAGCGAGGACTTCACGCGGTCGCTGCTGTCGACGCTGGTCAAGAAGTACGACTGGGTCAACTGGTCGGTGCGCGCCTTCAACAACCGCGAGCGCATCTTCTTCTACAACTGGCTGGCGGGGCGCAAGTTCCACGGCAGCGGCGGGGCCAACTGGTTTGAACTGACGACCGACAACAAGATCAGGGTGGTGGTGTCGTTCTGCGTGGACCCGCAGCCCATCGACAAGACTCGGATCTACGAGCAGATCGAGCAGCAGAGGCTGAAAGGCAACATGATGGCGGTGGCCCTGACGCTCAACCGCTGCTTCCCCGACTGCCTGGTGCACGCCGTCAGCCACTACAAGGAGGTGGTGGAGTCCAACAACTTCAGCGTGGAGTCCTACTACTACGGCAAGCACAAGCGGGCCTTCCTGTGCATCCATCCGCAGTAGGGCCGGCCGTAACGCACCGTCATCAAAGAATGTTCAATGGACTGGACTCAGTCAATTCACTTTTGTTGATTTTATGTGGTTCTTATTTCATCTCAGACAATTTAGAGCCA